GAAAGGAAAGGAAAGGAAAGGAAAGGAAAGGAAAGGAAAAGGAATACAATACAATACAATACAATACAATACAATACAATACAATACAATACAATACAATACAATACAATACAATACAATACAATACAATACAATACCAGAGTTGGAAGGGACCTTGGAGGTCTTCTAGTCCAACCCACTGCTTAGGCAGGAAACCCTGCACCACTTCAGACAAAGGGTTATCCAATCTCTTCTTTAAAACATCCAGTGTTGAAGCATTTATAACTTCTGGAGGCAACTCATTCCACTGATTAATTGTTCCAACTGACAGGAAATGTCTCCTTAGTTCTAGGTTGCTTCTCTCCTTCATGAGTTTCCATCCATTGCTGACCGTCGGGAGGGGAATAAAAAAGAAATGCAGGATAAGGACTGACTGGGAGAGGAGGGGCGGGCGGAGAGGGGCAGGACGGGGCCAGCCAGGGGCACGATTTGCCGATTCTCCAAACTGCGTAGAATCATAACAACCGTTTCTGTAGAACTGGTCCGAACAGGTAGAATCCCATCCCTGGTCTGAATTTTGATCACGTGGCCACGGGGATGGTCATAAGTGTGGAACATGATCATAAGTCACTTTTTTCCCAGTGCCGTCGTAACTTTGAATGGTTACTAAGCAAGTTGTTGTATGTCAAGGACTCCCTGTAACTTTTGACACCCCTGTTTGATAACCTGGACTACTTTGAAGAGTTGACACCTGGAGAGTTAGAACAGGTAATGGAGAAACCTGGCCACTTGGCATCTGAAAACAGGATGATTGATCACTGGCTACATCAACCTGTACAACCTGTCCTTTACACAGGTAAGCCCTCATTTACCTGTTGGCCTGTTTCCTGTCTGAATTTTGATCACACAACTGTGGAGCCGCTGCAATGGTTATAATTGTGAAAAAAGGTCATAAGTCACTTTTTTCAGTAGCATTGTAACTTATAGAATAACAGAGTTGGAAGGGACCTTGGAGGTCTTCTAGTCCAACCCCCTGCTTAGGCAGGAAACCTTATACCATTTCAGACAAATGGTTATCCAATCTCTTCTTAAAAGTTTCCAGTGTTGGAGCATTTACAACTTCTGGAGGCAAGTTATTCCACTGATTGATTGTTCTAACTGTCAGGAAATTTCTCCTTAATTCTGAGTTGGTTCTCTCCTTGGTTAATTTCCATCCATTGCTTCTTGTCCTGCCCTCTGGTGTTTTGGAGAAATACTTTCTTCTTCGTGGCAGCCCCTGAGATATTGGGTTACTAATAATTACTAATAATAATAGAAGTAAATTTCAATGATAACAATAAGTTTCAACTTCCTGGTAACTTTACAGATGAATTGGATTTGTTTGTAAAGTCACCAGGAAGCCAAGTAAGATTTGAAAGAGGTTTTTGTCTATAAGAAAAACAAACAAACAAACCCTGTAGATATTAGCTAATTTGCAAATTTTGCAAGCAGGCAAAACACCGAACTTGGAGAAGAAAGGGAATGAGCCAATATCTGGAATGAATTCCAGCCATGTAGTTTTTATTCACCATAAATGCCTCAGTTCAGTTACGTACCAAACAAAATTAGAATAAATATTCTGAAAATGATTTACAAACAGTGGTTACTTTCAGCCCTACCCTGATAGGGTGTTCTGGGCTGATTCAAAAGGTACACAAACCCAGAATGTTTCATCTATGAATAAATAACTTAATCTTCTTTTCGCTCGAAGTTCATAACTATAAGTAACAATTTTTTGTTTAATATTTCAAGACACAGTTTGCTGGTGAGAAAGTTCTTATGTTCACTTGGAGTAAGTTCAAAACCACAAAAATTTTTCTAGAAATGGCAACAGGTTGGTGGCTGCCCAAGAACATTCTCTGGAGCAGTTTTTGAGAAGGCTTTCTCGTCCATCAGTGGTTTTCGGGCAACAATACTGGAGCAAACCTATAAAATAAATCAAAAAAATGTTTGTCAGTGATTTCTCCCAGACAGCGTGATTTCTCCTAGCAGCAGAGACTGTTCAGGGATACCCAAGTTTCTTTATAAATAGCAAACCAGGGTGGTTTTCTTTCCCTACCATGTTCATTCTTGATTAGTCTTCCCCTTGTTGGAAGAATTATCCTTCTGGGTTCAGTTCCAAGTGGGGAAGAAAGACACTGGAAACATGGAGGCTGTTTGGAAAGATGGTTTAATAGTGGGCAGGACTACATGGCTTGGAGCTCCAAAGTGAAAAGCATGATCACATGCTTCAAGATGTTGGGTGAAGGAAAAGAAGGGGCAAGATGGTGAGAGACCCTTAGTTTTATACCCTCTGTTGGGCCTCACCTTAGTGTTTCCTGCTCCTGTGTAAGAAATGTATCCCATTGGCTGTCAGACTCCCAGGGTGGGGGTCTTAGCCAACTTTGTAGCCTTTCTCTGGACCACATGGCTTCACCTGAGTGCTGGCTGATGCAATCTTCCCAGGCCAGGTGGTGAGGTGGGTAGAGGTCTTTGTTATGTAGAATACTCTGGCCTAGGGCTTAACGGCCCATTAGCAAAGGTGGGGGGGGGGGGCTGAGTTTCTGCCTCTTAATTTCTACTTCTCTTTTTAGCGGAAATATTCTGCCTTTTTAGTATACCCTAAAATATTTCATTTTCCTAGGAGAGGGGTGGGTTTTCACGTCCAACACCCTACATGTATTTGAAAGGAGGGTGCTGATCATTAGGGATTCAATCATTGCTACATTTTTAGTGTGGGACAGTTAAATCATGGTTTGGTGTGATTTCTTGCCCGGTGGCAGGGGTCACACATCACAGGAAGCCCTGTATGGGCAACATGGTTAGATTATATGGCCTTTATGATAACAGAGAAGGAAAAATAGGGCTCCTAAAAATAAATTTGAAGGCCCATCTCAAGACAGGAACACTTCCAGATATATAAAAGGAAACATCTTACCTTGGATTGCTTCCTCGTGTGTGTTTCTCCACCATTTAGCTCCGGTTGATACGTTCCATAATTTCGTTGTATTTGGCGGTGACGGCTTGGGCTCTTTGAGTCAAATGATGGAGGACACAGTACAGACTGGACAAGTGATAATAAAAGATATCTTCCAGGCTGTCCTTCTCCATGTTCTCCTTCAGCTGAGGAACCGCAGGTAGCTTCTCTCTTCTCAAAGATAAGGGCCAACCGCCTTCCAACATCCCCTTGCCGGATTTCAGCACCATAAAATGTTCAAACAAGTCTTTGTCGGCTGAGTCGGCCCCAAAGGCATCTTCTAGATCTTCTAAAGAGACTCCACGAAGGAGGCTTGGGAACATCACCGTCTGTTCCATCTTCTGGATGGCCGAGACATACTTCTCCATGGCTGCAGGTGAGACTATTTCTGGGAGTAGGAAGTCAGCTGGCATCTCGAAGTCTTCGCCCAGCTGGCAGGCCGGCAAGGAGCGAAAGGTGGACAAGGCTTCCAAAGGTGTGGAGGAAGAGGAGCATTTATGAGCTGAGCTGGGGAGGAAAGTCAGACCCCGTTGGCGTGATCGGGACGGGTTCCATCAAAAGGACACGCCTCGTTTCTCAACCAATCTGATCTTTCTCCTCATGGCCCTTACTCTACTGTTGGCAATGTGGGTTTATTGACACCTTGTCAGGGTTTCAAATTGGGCCTCTTCCAAAGGTTTGACACCCCCCACCCCCCGCAGAGGAGGTGTGGGCCATGGATGACAGCTGCTGAGTCATTCCGGGCAGCTCAGCTGGGCTGATTGGAAAAATGCCCAGTGGAAAACTTTATGCCAAAGCTGAAGAAACACCAAAGGACTTTCACATACATGGAGAGACTCCAAAAAGATACAGGAATCACGCATGGTACAGGTGGACCTCAACTCACATGGGGATAAGAATATGTGATGGAGCTAAGAATAATAGGCTGGTTTGCAAATCTGCCAATGGCTCCTAAATACAGATAGATACACCTTACATTCTCTCTCGTTTTTTAAATATTTTTTTATTTTATTTTTAATATAGTCGTTCCATCTTCAGTTGAACAGTGTGTTTGTCTGGGTACAAATATCTTTGTTAAACAATAATCAAAATTGCAACATCCTTCCTTTCATTCAGGGGTGGGATTCAGCCGGTTTGGGGGATAACAGATAACAGATAACCAGAGTTGGAAAGGGACCTTGTAGGTCATCTAGTTCAACCCCCGACCAAAGCGGGAGACCCTACACCATTTCTGACAAATGGTAGTCCAATCTCTTCTTGAAAGTCTCAAATGATGGCGCTCCCACAATTTCTGAAGGCAACTTCTGTTCTATTGGTTGATTGTTCTCTCACTGTCAGAAAGTTTCTCCTCATTTCCAGGTTGAATCTCTCCTTGTTCAGTTTTCATCCATTATTCCTTGTCTGGCCTTTGAGTGCCTTGGAAAATAACTTGACCCCCTCTTCTCTGGGGCAGCCCCTCAAATATTGGAGCATTGCTATCATGTCTCCCCTGGTCCTTCTCTTCCCTAGACTAGCCAAGCCCAGTTCCTGTAACCATTCTTCATATGTTTTAGTCTCCAGTCCCTTAATCATCCGGGTTGCTCTTCTCTGTACTTTTTCTAGAGTCTCAACATTTTTTTATAATGTGGTGAATAAAACTGGATGCAGTGCTCTAGGTGTGGTCTTACTAAGGCTTTATAGAGTGGTATTAGTCCCTCACTTGATCTTGATTGTATCCCTCTGCTAATACAATTTAGGATTGCATTAGCTTTTTTGGCTGCTGCTGCACACGGCTGGCTCCTATTTAGCTGGTTGTCCACTAAGATTCCAAGATCCCTCTCCCAGTTCCTGCAATTGAGCCTGGTTTCACCCAGTCTATATGTGTCCTTTTGGTTTTTCTTGCTTAAGTGTAGGACTTTACTTTTCTCTACATTGAATTTCATTTGGTTAGATACTACCCAGTGTTCTAGTCTGTTGAGATCCCTCTGGATTTTGAGCCTATCTTCTTGGGTGTTGGCTATTCCTGCCAGCTTAGTATCATCTGCAAATTTGGTAAGTTCCCCTTCTATTCCCTCATCTAAGTCATTAATGAAGATATTGAAGAGCCTAAGACGGAACCTTGTGGCACCCCACCGCTTACTTCCCTCCATGTAGACTTAGACCCGTTAAGGACTACTCGTTGAGTACGGTTTGCCAGCCAGTTGCGAGTCCATCTAGTGGTGGTGCTATCTATTCCACTTTTTTTCTAGCTTACTAAGAAGTAGGCTTCTGACTGCCATTTGTCAGAAATGGTGTAGGGTCTCCCGCTTGGGCAGGGTGTGTAGGGTCTACTTTGTCGAATGCCTTGCTGAAATCTAAATATATTATGTCT